ATTTAGATAATGAAGAACAATTGTGAGTAGTTTTTTTATAGTTATTAATTTAAAATTTTTAATGTTTCCTAGTGAGGGACATTTGACTTATGTTCCTGCCTCCTCCTTTAGGGATCCATCTTTAATCACAACTGTTAATCATAAATGGAAGGGACACAGATTATAAGCAAGGGGTCAAAATAAATGAACTCAGAGTAGAAAGCTACAAACTGGGCATACCTGTAAGAATTTTAGGAGTATGGTATGACAGCTTTGGATGAAAAAAATATCAAAGAAACCTTATAGATCAATAAATACTAAAGCCAAAGCCCTAATAAAAATGAAAAAAGTAATAGACAAGTAGATGTAATATATCATTAACTATGTCCTTATGCCAAGCATAGAATACCTTTGCAATGACATAGTCCTATCCAGAGAGACCTGCAACCATCTCATGAGCAAAATAGTTACAACATACAAATACAAATTAGGTCTCACAAACACAATTCCAAATAGCATGTTATACAACAACCAGGAATACAACTTTATGCACTTGTGGGATAGACAAGTAATATTATATCTAAATAACTGAACAACAAGAATCAATCACAACAATACCACGGGTAGCATAGCCAGACACAGACTCCAATTGCTATAGAATATATATTGATTCACAGAATCAATTACAGCCAGTATAAAACACACTTTCTTGGAACATGGTGCAAACCTTATATACGATATAATTTGGCTACTAAGAACACATGGTTTCAATTTCAAGCAAATAAAGAGTGAAGGCCTAGCAGTAATCAAAAAAGAATGCCAAACCATTTAAGAAATCGTAAGTGAAAGCTTTTACCAAAAACATCGAAGCAAATTAAAAAAACACAATCTACTCTTTACAGGACAACTTCTCAATAAAGACAAACAAAAAACTCTACACTGGAGTCAACTCATCAGAATCAATAGAACAGCAATATAAGGGCTAGTTCCAACATAGTTCTTGGAGATAAAAGATAAACTAGATCAACAACTAAACCTAACAACACAATCAGCTGGCTTCTTACACAACAGCTTTCTTTAGTGCAAGCCAAATACAACAAGCAATATCACTAGACTATATTGTATTGGAATAGAAATAAATAATCAAATGGTCATTGATAGAACACAAAGAAAAATAAACAATAAATCAGCAATCTACAAACATTATATATGTGATGCAGACCAATCTCCACTTTTAGAATGCTCAGGTAACCAGTCTAACAATGGTGATGCCACCTGTAACTTCAAAGCAACAAGAAAAGCAGCAGTAGAAATCCCAGTCCACTGCAGCAAGATCTTAACACAGCAATATCCAAGTAACAAATATTTAAACTTCAGAAGCCAAATATTATCAAATTTCTTAGCATTAGGCCTGTCAGCACTAACATACTCATTGTACACTGGAACAAATCAGAACATAGAAATTGAAAGCACCACAAAAGACCAGTTACAAAACTATATACAAAATCTCTTTGATGCAGAGGAATCAATCTTAAAGAAACTGTATGGTATCAGTCAAGAACTTCAGAACTATATGCATTTTGAAATATATACAGATGGATCTATGAGCTGGCACAATGGACAACACTATATGGGAGTAGGATGGGCCCTAACAACTAATAACAATAAATGTTTCAACTTTCAAGGTCAAGTTAAAAACTTTCCCTCATCAACCAGAGTAGAACTAATGGCTATTTTTACAACTATTAGTATCCTTCCACATTACAGCAGAGTGTAAATATACACAGATAGTATGGTAGCCATCAACTGTATTTAGAAAACTAACAAGCTCAGTATAATACAACATTATAAAAAACAAAAAAATGCAAACATTCTACAACTTATCAAAGAAATCTGCAAGCAAAGAAATATAAAGATGGAACTATTCAAAATCCAAACACACACAGGAAACATACAAAATGAACTAGCCGACCAATTGGCAAAGATTGATCAACAACAAGGAATAAGATCCAACACAAGAAACATCACAACCAAAACAGAGATCCTAAAAGAAATATATTTCTTCGTACAATAAAATAAACAAAACCTGGAGATACCAATTAAAGAAACAATTAAGAAAATTACATAAGTAGTTCACTTGGCAAAATGAAGGCTCCTGAACAGAACCAGAAACAACTTCGATGACCACTTAATCCAGAAAATCCACTGACCCATAATTTTCAAGTATCTTCAAATCATTAAAATAAGTAACCATATGACAAACTGGAAAAACCAACAATAAAGAAAATTTCTGCTAAGCTTCTAGAATAAAGAACTTCTCACAAAAACCAAGCTGTACCACAGAGCACCGTCAATCTATAAAGACAATTTGTGCAACAAATGTGAAGAAATGGAAATAAATATACATTCCTTCATTTGCAATACACATAGGCAATGACAGAACAATCTATAATTGATAATATCACCACAAATATTAAGAAACACTCAATCCAAAGCAATGCATTAAAATAGATAAACAAACTAAAGGAAAAAACATCACTCTATTATAAGAGATATCTGAAATGTGCAATCAAAGAGACCTTTCTCAAGGAAATAATTCAAATTATTCAAGAGACAATTCCAGAAAAACAATATAGACACAACTGCTATATAGGAATTAAAAATGACATCACAAAATATCTTCAAGAGCTATGGAAAAGATGTTATGAAGACTTCCAACTGTGGAAAGCACAACAAGGTATCATTAGGAAGTTGGAGAAAAAATGTAAATATACTAAACATGAAATTGAACCATGGCTCAAAGAAAGAGAAGACCATATTAAAGAACAATTCATACATTTGATCAACAAATATATGAACAAAACCATACAAAATATAACAACACCCTTTACCATTTTGGAATTTTCATATAGCACTAGCCCAGCCTTGGCAGGTTAGCACCCTCAGAAAAGAGGTGGCAACAAGCCGCGAGGTAAGTGCAGTTGAAAGACTGCTTCTTTATCGAACTACAGTATATTTGGTAAGCATAGGTAGTTATAACATCAAATGTACATACCTACCAAATTTCAAATAAAGTAAGGCTGAGCCAGCGTTTTAAAAAAAAAAAAAAAAAAATTTACTAAAACACACCATAAAGATTAAGATTTTAGATTTTAAAAATAGGAATTAACGACTATAATGGCATTATAATTTCTTTTTTTTTGTTGTTTTAGATGAAAACAGGTTATCTGCCTGAATGCTGTTGCACTACTTTGTTGATGCATTAAAGAATCGTTTTCTTTCACTGCCATTTATTTATTTCATATTGTACAGTTTTCGCAAAATTTTGAAGACTCTTTATGATATATAACTGGGTGTTTTTTTTGAGCCGACCGTCTAAGAGTAACAGCTAAATGGAGCAGTTTTTTGAGCAACCTATGGTGGCGGATGTCGCTGAATTCAGTTTTGTTCAGGCATGTGGCGTTATACCGCTAGTTGGAACTACTGTAGCTGCTATCGCCCAAAATATTATAGACTTAGCAAAACAGGCTCGTCATAATCGAACGGCTTGCGAATATATCTCCACCCGCGTAAAAGAAAATTTGAGAGTGATTGTTAGTGCTAAACCTTCGCCACAAAGTGACTTTGATAAGTCGATCGCGAAATTACGAAAAACTTATGAAAATGTGTTGAGTGAGATAGAACAATATATAACGGAAATAGACAAACCCGGAGAATTTAACAAGAGAATTAAGGCATGGCTCATGGATATTGGCAAAGCAAATGATGTAAGTTCTTTTTTACATTGCAATCATTCAATGACTATAAAATTGATTGAGCTTTTTTGTTTAAGATTAAAGCAGGGTGTGACAACTTGCTCCAAAAACTGACTGATGCCACAAATGATTTTTATAATACCATAACGCTTGGAATCAATAATCAAGTAGTAGAAATGCGAGAAGAAATGAACGAAGGTTTTGCCGCCTTACAAATCATGATCGCACAGAAGGGTGATGATGTGACGGATCGAGATATCAAAGATTTGCAACTCGATCCAAGACGCATCGAGAATGATGGCTATGACGACAAAAATACGAGCCGAAAAAATATCCAAAGACGAACATACATTGGAAATGAAGTAGCAGTAAAAAAACTGCCCGATCCTGATATAGAGATGAAGAAAATTGCAAAACAAGTAAAAATTATCAGTTTACTTAGTGCCTGTGACCATATTGATAAATTGTTAAGTATCCAATAACGCTTATCCTCAATTTATTTTTCTGATCGTTAATCAAGATTGATTTAATGCATTACTTATAGCTTCGGTTTCTATATCGAAAATGTGAAAGGGACAAATTATCTCTTTGTTGTTACTAAGTGGATGGAAAATGGAGACCTCAAAAGCTATTTACGCAATAAGAAATCAATTTCATGGGCGATTAAACTTAAGATCGCGGAGCAAATCGCCATTGGTCTTGAATTCTGTAGCGGTGTGAATGTATATCATCGAGATGTTAGAAGGTTCATATGCTCGGCTCGTGTTACTACTTTCTCATATCGATTTATTTATCTTACAATATTTTCATTTCTTTAGTGAAAATGTATTGCTCGATGACTATTTAAATGCTAAACTCACTAATTTCGAGATGAGCCGAAAGATTGGTGACATATCAAAAGAAATGCCCATTGAATCTCTAAGGTTGTACGCTTTCTAAAACAATAAATTATATGTTGCTCTTTCGGATTTTCAATTAATAATTTTGTTGACTTTCAGATGGACTGCACCAGAAAAACTACAATTTCCAAAACAGCCTTACACCGACAAATGTGAAGTTTATAGGTATATTATGGCAGATAGACACGAAATAAATATCGTAATGTACTCAGAAAACTATTAATAAAATTTAAAATTTAATGAAATTTTAGTTTTGCGATTCTTCTCTGGGAGATTTCGACACATCAACTTCCATTCGGTGAAGTTAAAAATTCCTTAAAAGCAAGTGATAAAGCCAAAGGTGGAGAACGACCCAGTCCATTTTCCGAGAGTACACCAAAACCATATAGAAACTTAGTCGAACGGTCCTGGAAAAATAATCCTAAAGAACGACCATCAATCGACGAAATCCGCAAGGAACTTAAGGAAATGAGAAAGGGAGAAAAGGGAGCTAAACCGAAACGAAGTGATACAATGTCTTCTATTACATCTGGATCAGATGAACAACCATCACGTTATCTGACGGACATCAATGAAATAATATCGCTTCATGAGAAGGGACGATACAAAGTGGCCTTTTCCCATTTCTTGCACCTGGCTCAAGGAGGCAATCCTTTAGCCTCCTACTACGCGGGTCTTTATCTCTTCAAAGGAACTTTTGAAATTGAAAAAGATGAAATCCAAGCTTTACAATTATTTCAAAAATCTGCTGAAGGCGGTGATGTACGAGGCCAGTATATGTATGCTTATGCTTGCCTCAAAGGGACCTATTATTCCAAGGAAGAAGGTCTAAAATTTCTTAAAAAGGCAGCGCTTGGAAAAGAATATCCCGATGCTTTATACATGGTTTCTCAGCTTTTTTTGAATGGCGAACACGGTTACCCAGTTGACAATGTCAAATATAGAGATTATCTAATAAAGGCTGCAAGCAAGGGGTCAAAGGAAGCGAAAGAAGAACTTAAAGAGAGTGGTGATGACTTTTAAAAATTTCTTGAACAAATTTAATTAAGATGTGAATAATAATATCTTTCAAGAATATAAAAAACGTAGTCCATGTTTGTAATAACGTGTAATATATCACGATTTTTGTAGAAAGATTTTGGTTTACCATAAATATCTATATTTTGTTTTATTTATTTTTATTTAAGTCAACCTTTCAAAGAAGTATTTACATTAAAAATTTTTTTACATTGGATTTTACTTGTAAAAACAATCTTTAAGCTATCAAAAATTGATTTTATATATTGTATTAATATGATATAAAATTATACTATAATAATTTTAAAAATTAATTTAATAATTTATTTTAATCATTTAATCATAAAACTATAATAATATTATAACATTATGATAAATAAATATTTATTTATTGAAATTTTAAATATAAAATTATAAAAAAGTTTGTAAAAATAATTTAATAAAAATTTTTTAAAAAATTATTTTTAGAAATATTAATGCAAATATTTTTTTTTTTTTATAAAATTAGAAATTGAATCAATAAAAGTAAATATAATATTATGAATTTTTCTTATCTATTAATTTTAGTTCTTTCAAAAAATTATGGATTACATTAGTAACTTAATTAATTAACAAATATAGAATTCAAGTTTTTTTTTTTTTTTAAACCCTCTGTCAAACTAGTTATGTGTGCTTTATTAAACAATTGTAAGCTGTACATATAGTATGAATTGCTAAAGCTAAAACTTTAACTAGC